GTCCTCCCCTCCTGCTCTCATAGTCCTCCCCTCCTGCTCCCATAGTCCTCCCCCTTCCTGCTCCCATAGTCCCCCTCCTTTCAAGGCTGGAATTGCAGGTGTGCTATGACAGGAAAAGGAACGTTTTCCAGTGGCAAGGTCTCCTACATGTAGCAATCCTAAAGGTCCACAGAGCATACACCTGAGCTGGGAGTTCAACAACCCAGGCTGTTACTGTGTGCACAAATAAATAAATTAAATTAATTTAATGAGGCATGGGCTGAATTTTTAACTTCAGTGGCTGCAGCTGACTTTGGATTAGCAAGTCATTCAGAAGCTAAGGTTCCTAATAACAGCCCATCCTCTGAAACTATTTACCACTGTCGCCTTATTTTACACTCCATTGCCACCAGCAAGAAGCTTCTTGCACGAGGAGATGGATTTTCACTGGAGGTGACTGATTTTCCACAAAACCTCCCGGTGCTGGCGTAGCCAACAGGGACCATCTCAAGGGTGCAGACAGCTTTCATTGTTTTAGGGTTTGCTTTGGGGCACTGGGGATGGAACACAGGGCTCCTCTGTTCATGTTTGAACATGAACCTGTAGGAAGAACCAGCCAGATGACATCCAGGAATGTCTCCTGCAGACAACAGCAGAGGAAGAGGACTGTATCCAACTGGCATCTGAGCAGGGCTTGAGGCACACTTCTTCTGTGAAGACACCAACAGGGCTGGATGTCAGAACCCCAAGGCCTGCGCTTGGGAAAATGGCCATTATGAGCTGGTGGCATGGGGGATCTGAGGAACTGTCTTACAAATATCTAAAAATGTTGGCAAGATCAGCATTAACAAATGTCTAATTAAATATCTACACAATGTAAGGCTGTGCTCTCCTTGTTAATTGCTGAATCTGCATTCATGAATATCGCATGAGTATTTTATTACTTTTGGAAACAATGTGCTGGAGAGCATCTTACAAGGCAGGAATCTGCAAATGTGCACCACAAGACCATGGGGAAATGAGATGAAGCACCAGCAGAGGCACACATACTCAAACCTCTCAGGAGCATCTGGTGGTGTGTTCCTAGCACAAGGCACAAAGCATCAGGGTATTTGCTGTGCGCTGGGAGTTCCAGGAAGAATGCTGAAGGGGAGGCACCAAGCTTGGCTTCCTCAGAAGAGCCTGGAAGACAGGGCTGCATACTGGGATTTGCTGGCCTTGGATGTGTCTATGGTAGCTATGAAACTTTGCTGTCAGAGCTCAGAGCAGCCTGGCACCACAGGTGTGGCTGGGTATCGATAAACCTTTATTTACAAGAACAGACAAGGGACCAGATTCTCTTTGGTGGTCATTTTCTTTCTCTTGGCTTGGGTCTAGAAATATCTGACGACGATTTACCAACCCTAGCCTGTAACTCAGACCCAAACATATTTTTTCTTTTAAAAAAGTATTTTATGTGTGCATGCATGATGTGTGTGCATGGGTGGACATGCCGTTGTGCATATGTTTAGGTTAGAGAGCAGCTGTGTGGGGTCAATATTTACACCTGCTCAGGCTTTTAAAAGGGCACACGTCCTTGTGAATAATTTTAAAATACTCTTCCTACCCTGCCCTACCCTATCCAACCCCACCCTGCTTCTGCCATACAATTTACATGAATACGAAGTGGACAATGAAATCCTGTAAAAGGTTATGGTCCTGTTTAAGCAGAAATAGAACCAAAACATATTCTTTCAAAGTTTTCTAAATTCTTTCACCATACTAATAGAAGGAAGTTAAATCATGGTGTGCCTCAGATTCTCAAAGCACGTTCTGTTTATATGATTTTAAGCTTAATTATTTTCCTCAAAATGACATAGCTGGCTAATCAAAGCGTGGAAAGGACTGTTATCTTTTCCAAAATCACTGAAAGTACTCATTACATACACTCTAGAAAACTCTTTTCGTTTATTAGCTTTCTCCACTTAAAAGGAAGCAGAATGACAATCACAGAAACGTAAATAATCTTTTAAAAACCCATTTTCATTTTCCCCCCAGAATTTCCTACTTCTCAGCAAACAGCCAGGTGACCCATGGGTTGCAGTTTCACTCTCCATCAGAGGTGGGTCACCAACAGAAGCAAAGAACACATGATTTGCTTTATGGCTTTCAAGAAAACGGGACGAATTAAATTTATAAAGCATGTAGCCCACCGTTCAACTTTGTTTCCAGACATTGAGTTTGGATTCATGGCTGAGCCGCAGGCTAGGACCATGTCTTAGGTCCTCCCCTCTCACTGTCATGAAACACTCTGACAAAACTGACTTAAAGGAGAAGGGTTTATTCTGGCTCACCGTGCAAGGGTACAGTCCATCATGGCAGGAAGTCAAGGCGACAGTCACAAGACTATTCACAGTAAGAAAGCACAGAGTGATGCATGCTGACACTCAGCTTCCTCCACATCCCAGCCAAGGAATGCTGCCACCCACAGTGGATGCCTCTTCCAATCTCAGTGAAAACAAGATCATCCCCCACTGGCATGCCAGAGGTATATCCCCCAGATGGCTTCCAAGTGATGGTCAAGTTGGCAACACTAGACACTGTGAACTAGGAAGCCATTAAGAATAAAGAACAAAAGGAGCAGTCCATGAGGAGTAACCATCCTCCCAAGTCATGCCCACCACATGCTTTTAGGAAGGAACTCTTCCTAAGCCATGTGTTGATGTGACATGGCTTCAGATGGAGTAGATTTTAAACTCAAGTAGTCCAGCAGCTCAGGAGGGAGGTCCTGCTCCAAGAAGGTCAGAGAGCTGAGGGTCTCAGCTCCTTCACACTCTCCCTCCTCTCTGTAGACATGGGGTGGGTAGCCAGTGTCACCATTCAGAACATCAATAGCGTGGAGTTTCTATGGAAGGCAGAGAAGGAGACAGTCACTGTCCTGGGCTCCCAGACAGCACCAGTATCCTCTAGATAGATTTGAGGAAATCCTCTGGCTGCTGGTGGGAGAAAGTCCTCAGCCTCACAGATTCAGCTGTGGGGGCCAAGCTGAAGTGGGAGCTACTGCCTTCTTCATGACTATTCCAGCTACGATGGTGACCATCCTAGGTACTGATAGCCTCACCCCTGAGACATCTCACCCATTCCTGCTCCATGGGCACTCATCCTTGGCACTGTCCCCAACCTCCCATATCCAGGACACGTCCTACTCACAACTCTCCTGGATCTTCACTTGGGTCTCTCTTTTATCACGCATACCATGTTTCATGTTGGGGGACCCTTCCTAACTCACAAATGTCCTTCCCTTCCGCCCACCCTTCACTGTCTCCATGGAAGGGTGATCTCCACTCAGTGTTCCCTTAAATATTATCCTGTCCACTCCCACCATGTTCTGACTTCCCAAGGCATGCACAAGCCCCGGTATCACTCACTCCCTAACAAAGGTAACAGGTGATTAGCTCTCAGTTTGGGACAACTCCCTGTCATCACAGTCAGGGCCCAAATCTCTACCTCACCTTCCCTGGGCAGCTCCACAGGGCCAAACACACAGATGTCACACTAAACATCCCCAAGAGTGCCTCCTCTTGCCTTCCAACAACCTTCTCCACTGGAGTTCCTCAACATCATGTCACAGGAGCTGGCACATGGCAATTCTGGGGACAAACCCAGCCCAAACACTGTTGAAAATGAAGACTTTGGTGCAACACAACCAAGCTCCCAAGTCAATACAGTGGCAGAGTGGAGATGTTGGGCTCGACCCACAAGTCCTGAAGTATTTTCTGGCTGGGTCTTCACAGGAAGTTGGTCAACAGACAGACCATATCAGATGGTCCTAGAAGATGCTGGGACACATTTTCCTCCGCATGCAGACACTTTAGTGAACTCCATAATTTCATGAATACTGTTGATTAGCTCACAATACAACGAAAAATTAGCTAAAACGTACAATGAGTCATAGTGAATGGGTAAGACATTCCTGGGAAGGCTGTGTGGAGCCCTGAGCACATGAAGCTGTAGTTTGGCTCACACCATGACACCCCCAACATTGCAACAGTGTATGGAATTCTTGCATTGTTCACTGCGTCCCCATCTGCCACTCTTCCACACAATGGCTCTGTCTCCTCTTCTCCAATGCCTTGGACACTGCCTAGGACCCCTTTCTCACTATATTTGCCAGAGAAAATAATATTAGGCACCTGAGGGACCTCATTTGCTTTCCCAGACAGACACAGTGACTGAGCATAACCCATGGATGACAGGCATCAAGAACAGTCACCTGGCCACAGAGACTCCCATAACCTCTCTTCTGGCCACATGTCTTGGGTTCCTCCTATTGGTAGGGTCACACATGGACCAGAGATGCCGGGCCCTTTATCCCATTCAGAAATTTCCTTTTCTTAAAAATGTTTTTTATACTCCCATCTACCCCCTCCCCACCCAATCCCCCATCTCCATTCAGGAAGTGGCAGGCCTCCCACAGGCTTGCACAAGGCATAACACGTCAGAAATTTCCTTTCTTGCAGCTCAACTGTGATATGAGCAAGAAGCACAATCTTCATGTTGTCACTGGCTCCCTCTCCTCCAGGCCTCTGCTGCTCTTCTCCATGAGTGAGGGTCTCGGCTGCCGATCTCCTGTCTGGAAGCTCTGGCTCAGTGTTCAGGGCCCAGATGTCCCTCCGGCAGCATTGTCTGACTTTTTCTCGAGTCGCTTGTTAAGTGTTTACTGGGTAGGTGGGCAGGTGGACAGACAGCTAGAGCTATGGACGGATGGACAGTAGAGAGAAGGGTGATAGAGAGATGAAGGGAGGGAGAGAGGTAAAGATGGAGGGACAGACAAACGGTGGTATGACTGGAGAGATGTGTGTATACATGTATTATGTATTAGACATGCATGGAAGGATGGGCAGATGGAGGGATGGATGGACAGACGGAGAGACGGACGGATGGACAGATGGAAGGAAATCAAAGAGAGAGGGATGGCTAGATAGCAAAGAGATGAAGGGATGAAGGGGTGTAAGAAGAGCTTCAGTCTATTTACTGGATTCTAGGATGGTGCTATCTGAAATGAGCCACTCCAGTCGGTTATAGAGGGAAAGGATCTGGAGGGATTTCTTAACCTGTCATTATCTTAAAAGGGACTCCTGACAGCTTGTGTGGAGGACAAAAGCAGCCAGAGCACGGAGACTCAGAGCCTGGACAGGCGAAGCCGTGGGGCCTTGAGGACCCATGCTCATGTTCCCCTAACAGCATCATCGTTTGGTGCACTCTGCTGTCAGCCAGATGCTCTCTACCTCCCTGTCTCACAGGAGAGCGGAAACCCAGCCTCCGCTATGCATGGACTGCGGTGCCCACAAACAGGAGTGGATCTCACACACCAGTTGTGTTACCTGAGGGCTGTGGCCTCCACCCTGCTGCCATCCACTCCGTGCCTGGGTAGTGGTGAGGAAAGGAAGCTCTCATAGCCGAGAGGCGAATGCCCAAACCTGGCCCAGATGTTAGGAGTCCAGTCACGTCCTTTGGGCAAAGCTAAATAGATAATTCATGACAAACCTGGTGTGCACAGAGCAAAACAGAACCAGGAGCAGGGGCTGCGCCTCAAGAATTCAACTTCAAACCCCCAAGGCTGGCAGCCAAGCAGCAGGGTTCTGCACCCTGATTCAGCAATTCCAGAGTCCCCTAAGATCAATAATTCATCACAAACCACCAACTAAGTCTGAAGGCTCGGGAGGGAAAGAACCGCTCTTCTCATCTGGGTGTTTGATTTTTTTTTTTTCTTTCTTTCTTTTCTTCTTACACCATGGAACTCGGGGCTTAAGTTGTACTGCACTAAGCTGCTTGTCTCATTGGCACAAAGAGGAGGGAGCTTCTCAACTGGAACTCAACCTTCTCCTGCCTCGATACATGGGACCTGTGCCCTATCTGAGCTGCCTATGTGACCCCAGCTAGGTGTGTGCACACGTGAAAATGGGCACCGATGCCATGGTCACCAGGAGATGTGTGTGGTAGTGCATGGCCTCATCAGTGCACAGTCTCTGGCCATGGGGTGGAACTGGCCAGCATTCTTCACGGTTAGGAAGTTCAGGCTTTGCTGATATCACTCAATAGCCAGGTGGGCTAGCCTGGACTCTGTGGCCTATAGTCTATCCCCAGATCGATTCCTTGTTTCTCTGTCACCAGGAGGAGACAGTGGTCTATGGCCCAGACATAGCTCTGCCTTCATAGCTCAAAAAGGTGAGGAAGTTGGTGGGCTGTGCCAAGTCTCAGCTCTACAACATGGATGACTCAGTGGTCTAGCCACTGCTCTGCCTTCACAGTTCTGCCACGTGGGTGGATGACTCAGTGGTCTAGCCCCAGCTCTGTCTTCACAGCTCTGCCATGTGGGTGGATGATTCAGTGGTCTAGCCCCTGCTCTGCCTTCACAGGTCTGCAACGTGGGTGGATGACTCAGTGGTCTAGACCCAGCTCTGTCTTCACAGCTCTACCATGTGGGTGGATGATTCAGTGGTCTAGTCCCTGCTCTGTCTTCACAGGTCTGCCACGTGGGTGGATGACTCAGTGGTCTAGACCCAGCTCTGTCTTCACAGCTCTGCCATGTGGGTGGATGATTCAGTGGTCTAGCCTCTGCTCTGCCTTCACAGGTCTGCCACGTGGGTGGATGACTCAGTGGTCTTGCCCCAGCTCTGTCTTCACAGCTCTGCCACGTGGGTGGATGATTCAGTGGTCAGCCCAGCTCTGTCTTCACAGCTCTGCCACGTGGGTGGATGACTCAGTGGTCAGCCCAGCTCTGTCTTCACAGCTCTGCCACATGGGTGAATGACTCAGTGGTCTTGCCCCAGCTCTGTCTTCACAGCTCTGCCATGTGGGTGGATGACTCAGTGGTCAGCCCAGCTCTGGCTTCACAGCACTGCCATGTGGAGTAGCTTCCCTGGGCCTTGTTTTTCAGGCCCATCTTTCTCCTGGAGCTTTGGTGACAAATCCATCTTTCATTGATTATTCCTCTTGGACTCAAAGTCTACTGAAGTGACGTGCAGGAGTGGGGCTACTGAGATGTGCTTGGATCCTGAAAACTCCGCCCTCACCAAAGGTAAGTGACGGAATGATGGAAGGCAGGGTTGGAGGAAGTGGGTCCCTGGGGCTGTGTCATTGCAGCCTCTCTCTTGCCCTGACCTCTCCCTGCTATTCTGCACCACTTCATGGCAGCCTTGAGTTGGGCACCTTTGTTGCACCAATGTGTCCCCACTGCTGAGATGTTCAAACCACAGGCTCACAGTAAGGGAGACAGTCAACATGGGCTGAAGCCTCTGAAACAGAGAAAATATAAGCCCTTTCTCCCCTCAGAGTTTTTTTTTTTCTATCAGGTATTTTACCAGAGATGGAAATGTGGCACTCTTTGAGGGTATAGGGTTCCATCATAGAAGTTCTAGTCTGCAGAGAGAGAGAGGGAGGAGGAAGGGGGTGGAGAGAGGAAGGAAGGAGGGGGAGGGAAGGAGACAGAGACAGAAACAGAAACAGAGGGAGTGAGGGAGAGAGGGGGAAGGAAGAGGGGAGATGAAAGGAGAGGGGCGGTGGAGAGAATGGCTCCCCAAGGATATTCCTCCCAGAGATCAGGGCCCAAGACAGGGTCTTGCAGCCCAGATCTGGACACAAAGTCTCCCAACTCAGGAGCCTGGTGGATCCGCTTGTGGTGTATTCCAGCAGCCGCCAGGCATTGTCCACATGGCAGATCTCACAGGCAAAAAGTCTATGGCAGCTACAGACTTACCTGGTGAAGTGCAGAAGCCCCAACACTGGGAGACCCTAGCAGAGGCGCTACATCTAAACACCGTCCAGGCTCACGATGCCCTGCAGCCCTGTCCCTTGTCCACTCTGGCACCATAGATGGAGATGCCAGGGGTATCATGAGGGTTCACAAGACAAGATCTCATAAATGAAGTCCAGAGGCTCTGTTTAACATCCCAGGTCCGTAGCACCATGAGGGTTCACAAGACAGAATCCCAGCACCTCAGATGAGAGGTTCCGATGAAGTTTGCAATAAACTTCCGTGGTTTAAGCCACCAGGTACTGACACCATTATGGCAGTCTTTGTTGACTCTTACGGTGGTTTAGGAGAGAACATCTCCAGTTGGACTTGGAGCAAGGTAGGAAAGGGGGAGATTACAGCCAGTGCAAGTACAAAAAGAACCTACCTGATTCCAGGTCTCTATCACCCTTCCTTCCATCAGTGGCAGGGGGCATCTGGGCACCAAAGGATCCAGATAGACCTGCAAAATGAACCAGAAGCCTCTAGCCTGAGGAGCACTGGCCACACAGCTCCCTGCACCAGTATGCCCTGCCCTCAGCACAGATTCAACACCGAGGGAGAGTCAGGCCAAAGACAAGGGGCTCACACTTCCCTGTGTGCTGGGAGCAGGGAGTTCCTGCACACAGCAATGCTGGGTAGAAACACATTAGTAGGAAAAGCGACTGGTATCCACCTGTTAGCAGCATTAAGGTCTCTTCCACAAGCCCCATTCCTTGGGGACCTTTGTGTGCTGCCCCAATCCCTGTTTATAATTTACCCTTTAGCCATGTTCATGACCAGCCCAGGTCACTCTCTGAGGTGGGAACACGGGCGTTCCCTGTGTTGATGCACCCAGCTGAGCTCTAAGGGTTGCCACAAAGGAAGCGTCCAGTGGGAGGGCGCAGGTTGACCACGTGCCAGAAGCTGCATGATGCGCAGCCATGTGCCCGGGGCCTGGCTGTCAAACACACTTACACTCCATTCATATCATGCATGTGCTAGGTTAGTACCTGAGAGTGGCAGAAACATGAAGAGTTATGGATGACAGAAGGGAGAAGAGGACCCTTCACCTAGTGGGAGCCAGGGAGACCTCTTAGGGCAAGGAGAAATGTGAGGGGGGAATGGAAGCACCACGGGGCAGGCATTTCTGGGTGGAAGGGCTGTACAAGGCCCCAAGGCAGGAGGGAGGTTGACGGGTCCTCATGGGGGTGAGGCAGGGGACCCCGGCAAGCAGCACTGAGGAGGGGAAGGACAAGGGCAGAGGCCAAGATATGGAGGATGTCACAGGGCAAGGGCAAGCTGCCAGGGGCTGTAAACTGGAAGTGGAATGCTGGCCCGTGCCTATAAAGGACTTGTGACATGTTATGGCTAAGTTGACCTATGACCATCTTAAGTTTTGAGACACCCAATCCCAAATGACATACATAAAGATGAATGTATGAATATATACATAAAATAGAATGTAATGTCTAGACCAATTTTACATCTCCTTGATGACACATATAGACATGTGTATACACACACAAATATATACACAAAACCTGGACATGCCTGTCTCAATACATAGACACTTACAGATGAGCATACACAGCGGCTAGTAGCATGTTCACCGCACCAATGCTGATAGAACTAAACACATCCAACAACAGAGGCAAAGCATGGGCTGCACCCCCACACACAGTCCTGGGCACACTGTCTGCCTGTTTCCAGGGCTGGGAGCACTTGATTGGAATGGCACCACTGCTTAGTGTCCTCAGTTTACCTTCATGTGCTTCTCTGAGGAGACTCCTTCAGACTCAAGCTGTGGGGCTGGGGGGAGGGCTCAGAGGTTAAAGCTCTTGCCAAGCGAGGAAGCAATGAGAGTTCAAATTTCCAGAATTTGTGTGAATTCTGTGTGGGCACAGCACTCTTCCCATACTTCCAGCCTCAAAGGGCAGAGACAGGGCATCCCCAGAGCAAGGGGACTAGTGAGACTAGCTAGGCCACTGAGCTCTGGGTCTTTTAAGACCCAGCCTTAAAAGAGTGAGACAGAAAAGTGATGGAGGTTGATTCTGGACATCGACTGATGTCCACAGGCATGTGCATACCAAAGCACGTGTGCACATGCACATACACACACACACACACACACACACACACACACACACACACTCAAAGAAGAGGAGGAATGCAGGTTTTGTGTAACATAGAAGCACAGGTTATCATATGTCTTTTCTAATCTGGTCAGAAGTCAGTGTGGCTTCTTCCCAAAGAAGACTCATGCTGGTTTTGCCTTGAGTCACTTAGCATCCTAACACTGGGCTACAGGAGAGCCCTCTGCAGCCAGGACAGTGCCCTCTCCTTACTCCGCACCTCTCTGCTCTTAGCCGCTGGCCATGGGCCATGTCTCTAGGCTTGTGACCATTCAACAGTATTTCAGCAAAAAGAAATTTATTTTCATCTTAGGTGTTTGCAGGTCATTTCAGCGGTGTTCTCTAAGGTTACTTTTGCATTGTAACAGAAGGTGGTCCTCACCATCTTGAACCCCATCTGGGATGCCACACCAACTGGCTTTCATGAAACTTGAATTAGGATTTTTTTCCATGTCTAATGAATCAAAGAGAATTTTCAGAGGACGACCAAAGCTGTTCAAATACTGATGATAGTTGGGATGATTCCATGAACATATCAAACATTTCTTGATGCTCAAAAGGCAATTTCCCATGAGAGAAGAATTAGGTATTAGGAAGTATACTTCTGCAACTTCACCCCAGCGCCTACGTTTCTGTGGTACCTGGTTTCAAGAGAATCATTATTTGAATCCATCCCTCTGGTCAATAAGTGTGAGTTATGTCGATACCCCATCACGGAAAGGCTTTAAAGCATCCACTTATCTGTCTTATTAAGAATGGATGCTTGGTGGATTTCAGTGGGAAAGAAGGAATCTGCTACCACAGGGGCTCAGAGCAGGAATAAATTGGGTGGTCTTTCCCATCCACCCCATCTCCAGCAGCTCGAGGTCTCAAAACACCTGTCAGTGCAAAGATAAGCGCAGATACACTTCTGCTGGAGCAAGCATGCAGCAACCCAGCAGCCAAAATGAATTTGCAGGGACCGATGCCTGTGGGCCTTCACATCCTTAGAAACCTGCGGTTTAACTACTTGCTTTGTGTATGTGAATGAAGGCATGTCTCTGGTACATACATGTCTCTACTACATGCATGTGTGTGCACGCATGTGTGGAAGCTTGAAGTTAATGTCAATTGTTTGGGGCCATTCTGTCTTTTTTTTCAATCTTCAAAATTTCCTATTTGTGTGTGTGTGTGTGTGTGTGTGTGTGTGCGCGCGTGCGCATGTGTGTGTGTGTGTGTGCATGCGCGTGTGCGCACAGGTCTATGTGTGCATATTGTTCTGTCTAGGCCAGAGTGTGTGTGGAGGTCAGAGGACAGCGTGCAGGAGCTGATTCTCTCCTACCATTTACCACTGATTCCTGGGATGTAACTGGAGTCGTTAGCTTTGGGCAGCAATCACTTTTCTCTGCTGAGCCATCTCCCTGGCCCCAGTGTTTATTTTTTGATACACAGCCCCTCAGTAAACCTCAAACTCATCAGTTTGGCTAGGACAACAGGCTGGTGAGCCTCAGGATGTGCCTGTCTCCACCCTCCCCACACGCACTCAGACCTTCATGCTTGCCTGGGCACCTTAAGATTGAGCCATCACCCTCATCCTGTGTCAACCACTTCTAGTCCATATTCCATATTCTATTCTAGGTATGTTGGGTGTTGACTATATCTTGAACCCACTCTTCTCTCCCAAGCCAGCTATATTTTAGTAGTTTAGTACAAGGTAATGTTCATGGCACCATGCACGGCTATACTTACCGGGGTGGAAGATCGGTTTCTCATGCCTCTTGGCTCAAAGAGCATGCCATCACCCTTAAATTTAAGAAGAATGAACTTTTGTTGATTTCACATAAACCAGAGACAGTGCTAAATGCAAGACTAGGAGTCATTGAGATGACTCCTCACTTCACTGCTGAAGGGGAGAATCCTATGGACTGCAATGCAGATATTCACTGCAGAGTCTACACGGGGACACTCACAGCTGACAGTCCACATACGGGGACACTCACCGCAGATTCCACAGGGGAGACTCACCACAGAGATCCCACACGGGACACTCACCGCAGAGATCACACACATGGGGACACTCACAGCTGATAGTCCACACATGGGGACACTCACTGCAGAGATCTCATACACGGGACACTCACCACAGAGAGCCCTCACAAAGGTTTACATGCTGTGTAGCAATGGCACACGAGGCTGTCAGACCTGACCTTGCATTCTCAGACACCTAGTGAGGCATCCTGGGTCATGGCCATTACCTCAACAGGTGAATGGACACCTATTCAATCCCTAGAATACAGGACTGGCCATGCAGCATGAAGGGTCTGGGTGAACAAAGAAATAGCGGGGTCCCTTTGGTTAAAAACTGAGGACTGAGTAGGTGGTAGCAGCAGAAGGCTACCCTTCACAAGTCTCCAAGTGTGACTCCCGCACAGGCCCTGCGCTGGGCCACTGAACAGGCTCCATGTCTACAATACCAGCCTTACAGGACTAGGGGAGCAGGACTTCAATGCCCAGACCCTCACTGGTGGATTCTGTACAGAGAACAACAATGCTCAGGTGCAGCCTAGGCAGCAGGAAGATCCTGCACACATCGTGAGTTCCTTCTTAGAAGGCTTCCTCCTTCAGAGAGGTCTTGGCTCTTCATGCCTTAAATACTACTTCCTCATATGCCAAGAAAGTAAATTTTTATTAAAATAGTAACCAGTGAGGTCCAAATGAGATGGGTACCCCAGACTCATGTTGAGAGAGCACAATTAGCTAATTGGCTCTGGCATGTGTGGTGGTCATGTGAATTGTCCTCTGGAGGACCTGGGAGAGTCACAGGTACCCTCACCTTATAGCTTCTTTTGGCTTTAAACATATTCTATAAAAATCACTTTGCCAAGCAGGGCTGTAAATCTAGAGTTGGCATGCAGGGTAAATACAGACACTGTAGAGTGGGAACGGGGGTCCTGCTTGCTGGCAGTGCAGGCTCACTCACACGCTTTTAACTTAGAGACTGAGCTCTGGTGCCCTCAGATGGACACTAGAAAATGGAAAGTCTGAAATGTGTCATCTTTGATAAGGACTATCAAACAACGTGTGTGTGTGTGTGTGTGTGTGTGTGTGTGTGTGTGTGTGAGAGAGAGAGAGAGAGAGAGAGAGAGAGAGAGAGAGAGAGAGAGAGAGATTTATCATGGGTAAATGCCTTCCCAGTATATGGGGTGACAAGTGACCACCACCATGTTTGTTTGTTTTGTGTGGATCCTGGAGCTTGATCTCAGGTGCTCAGCTTGTACAATTTGCCAGCTGAAATACCTCCACCCCCTCAAACAACAGCCACCAACACAAGCAATGATAATTTTAATTTTTTAATTCTATAAAAATGTTGGGATGCACGGCTTTCAGAAGAAAGGCCACCTATGGATTTTCATTGTGTGTGTTTGCTATAAACTCACTATGAATCTTCTCAAAGGGATCTCTCTCTCTCTCTCTCTCTCTCTCTCTCTCTCTCTCTCTCTCAAAGGAACCATCTGCCTGTCACTGGGGAGGTGACTGCAGCCAAGAGCAGCCATCTGTAACTCAACAAATTCCCTAGAGCACAAGACACTTTGTCTGTCCATGGCAGGATCTCACCAAAGTCCTGGGAGAAATTCTGGTTTTCTCCAAGATGATCATTTCTTCCCAGCCGGAAGGCAACCAACTCCTCTCCTTGCTCAGGTCCTCAGAGGCAAGGACAGCAGGGCAGGAAGAGGAGTGGGGGGAGAAGGGCAAAATCACAACAGCCCTGAGAAGCCTAGCTGGGTGAGGCAAGGAGTCCAGAGCGTCTGTGGTTGACACAGGTCCCTAAAATGAGTGAGCACATGGGGTTGGTCTAGGTAGGACGGTGACAAATGGATTTAAGAGATCTAATAGATAGCAGGTGATATTTGCATAAGATCTCTGTGGTGGTTTGAATGAAAACAGCCCCCATAGATTCATAGGGAGTGACACTATTAGGAGGTTGGCCTTGTTGGAGGAAGTGTGTTACTGGGGGTGAGCTTTGAGGTTCCAGGTGCTCAAGCCAGGCCCAGCGTCTCTCTTCCTGCTGCCTGTGGGTGTTGCAGAACTCTCAGCTGCTTCTCCAACACTGCCCACTTGCTGCCATGACCATGGACTAAATCTCTGAACCTGTAAGTCAGGTCCTTAAATGTTTTCCTTATAAATTGCCATGGCCATGGTGTCTCGTCACAGGAATAAAAATCTAACTAAGACAAACTCTGTATTTTAATTTAGACTTTCCAATCAATAAGAAAGCAAATTTTCAAAGAAGATCAAGCTGGTGGGCTGAAGAAATACCTCAGTTGAATGCACAAGCGTGAGGGCCTGAGTTCAATCCCGAGCACTGGCATTAATTAAAAAGCTGGAAATTGTGGTGTCTGTCTGGCTCCCAGCCCTGGGGGCGGGGTAGGTGGAAAGCAGAGGATCCCTTAGGCTTGCCATCTGGCCAGTTTAGCCTAAATGAGGCTCCGGCCCCAGAGAGAGACCCTGACTCAATAAACAAACAAACAAATATAAGAGATGGATCCTAAGGAAGGGACACCTGAGGTTGACCTCTGACCTCCAACCATAGTGTACACATGTGCACCCTCAAGCACACAGGCACATACACACACACACACACACACACACACACACACACACCATAAAGGAAATTTGTGTGGCTCTTGACATTGACTTGATATTATCTCCTTTGCCACAGAAGTCAAAGAACTGCTCTAGCAAACAGTCCCAAGTGGTTCCTTAGCTCCGAAAGAGTGGGAACAGAGGCTGATCTAACCAATGTTATGAAGAATATGCTTAGTGTGTGCAGGACCCTGGGAAGGAACTCAGGGACACAAAAATTTGCTACCACAGGGCCTCAGTTTTCTCTCCTGTAAAGTAGGGACCAGCACTTTGGTGGTTTAAATGAAAATGTTCTCCATAGATTTCAGCTACTGCTGCTGTGTGGGGAGGTTCTGGCACCTTCAGGGAGGAGCTTTGCAGGAGGAAGTGTGTCACTGGGGGTGGGCTTTGAGAGTTTATATCCTCACCCCATGTTCTGATCCCCCTCTGCTTCCTGTGTATGATCAAGATGTGATCTCTCGGCTCTCACCACTGCCATTCCTCCCTGCCATGACGGACTCTCCTCCTGGGACCTAAGCCAACGCAAACTCTTCCCTCTGTGTGTTGGCTTTGCCCATGGCATCTTATCACAGAATAACAACTAATACACAATTCCCCTCTCCCTGCTGTAGTTCTAGTGTGAACTCAGTGGGACTACACATGCACAGTGCACACCACAGGTTTAGGCACACCTAGACAATGCTCTGACCTCAGAAACTTCCAGACTAAAGAATGAAAGAGAAAGCAATGTCTTCCCACATACCACGGTTGTAGTTATGGTAACAAGTCAGACCGCCCTGACTAGGAGGGCTGAATGAACAGGGTAAGCAGAGACCCTGGGCCTCCCTTAAATTCTGCAGCCCAGAGTCATTTGAGACTTTCAGAATTGGAGGCACCTGCTGCTTAGATAAAGAAAGCTAAGGCGGGCTTGTAAGCAGCTCTAAACTGCACTGAACTGAACGGTGAGTAAAACCTTCCCCCTCCAGTTCCTTGTCCAGAAACCTCGTGACATGTGGGCAGAGAAGCAGCCAGGATGTTTCTCCTGCAGAACCAACAGCAGATAGCATCTACAGAGAGGTGATACCTTCACATCTGGCTTGGCATGGGCCGCAGCTGCACTGAAGGATAGAGCAGGCATCTGATCACCCCCAGTTGGCTGCATCTGTAAAAACCAGAGGAGGAAATATGACCGTGGTCAGAGGGCAGTTATAAAAGTCAGCAAAGAACCCCGCAATCTAAAACACAGGACTGCAGTGCTGTCAGGAAAGAGCCTTGTCTTCCATACCTTCAGATGATGCATCTGGGGAGTGGATGTCTTACTGCTTGCCATTCATTCTCAGTGGCTGGGTAAGAGGGTGAACTTCCTACTGTGCAGGTTTTATGTCACATTATACCATGAGACCCCGGATCTCAAAATCATCCTCTCCTAAGGCACCAGCAATGGCCCCTCAGGTCTCATCCTATCCTCACTCAGCAAAAATCACCCCAAGGAACTTCAGTGTTGATGGGTACCCAGTGGGGCCCACCAGCCTCCCTACAAACAGGCAGGCATCCACATGACCCAGGGATCATCTCAGCAGAAGAATGTGGCCATGTGGGTGAGTGACTCCATCTTAGATGGAGTCGTTCCCCCAAAGAATAGAATGTCCTTGGTGTAGAAGCTGGATTGGTTGGCATGGTCAGGTGAGATGGACAGTCAAACAGGCATACACATGCTGAAATGGTGTTACGAGCCAATGAGGTCAGCTGCCAAAATTTACCGAGTGCCGTCAGTGCTCAGCTGAGGACATGACTTTGATTAAATTGTCCAATAAACTGCAAGGGAGTGGAAACATTGACCTCACTTTATATATGAAAACCCAGGGTCAGCAAAATAACCTAATGCTCACCAATGTGGTTAGTTGAGTCTCAGTTCCCAGAGTACCAAAGATGCTAGTGTAGAACAGTTGTTTCTCAGCTATTATTTGGGGAAACTTATGGAATCTCTGTGGAGAAAGACATAGCAGGCGAAGGTGGGTCACTGGGGCGGGCTTTTGAGGGCCATAGCACCATTGTGGATTTTGGCCTGTGCTCTCTCGCCATGAAGAAGGCATTCCTGTATGTTCCTGCCACCGAGGAATCACTCGCTAGCCACCATGTGTTCCTCACTGTGATGGGTTAAGTCTCCTGAACCATGACTCAAGAAAAGAAAAAAACTACACAAATGGACAGAAGCCCACCTTAAGTTCTTTTCTGTTGAGTGTTTAGTGTCAGAAAAGAATAAGTAACACAGGGTATGTCCAGTGACCCAGCAGGACTTCCTATATCAGCCACTCCTAGTTCCCAGTGAAGACAGACAGGCGACTTCATGACACCATCATCTCGTTGCTCGTGTGACCCATCCCAAAGCAGCCACAAGGACAACAAACAAGGCTACATTTCAGCACCATCAGGTGGGAAGATCCAGCAGGCACTGGTGCTGGCTCCCTGCAGGTTGTGGTTATGTTGGGCGCGTCCTTAAGGACTGTCCTTCAATCCAGTACCTGGGGAGCAGACTCCATCCCTTCGGGCCACAGATGGCAATGTGAGCTTAAATAGTGCATGGCTGGCTCAAACACACCAAATTAGTAAGAGGTAAAGGCAGAAAGAGAGTTGAGTATTGTCCCTGAAAAACCAGGGGGACCTCTTCTTGCCCTCCGTGTTACAGGAGGATGGAGCCGTAGTTCTGTTATAGGATGACTGACCGAGCCGGAGAAGCTAGCTCATGTGTCACCAGTGAGCAAAGCAATGTCACCCAGAAATCCTCAACCTGGCAGAATTGTTTTCTCCTGAGCTTGGTTTCTCACACTGACACTGAGGACACTGGGCCAGGTAATTCTGTGTTGGGTGATATTTGACTATAGTCCTGGCCACAGGCCATTAAGGGCTCATAGTATCTTCTAATTGCGACTATCCAAAGTACCTCCAGGCATTGCCAAGGGTTCCCTCGAGAAGAACTGAGCATAGTTGAGAACCACTGATAGAAAACACAAGCGTGTCTGGCTGTGACGTGCAGTTGTGGAAGCAATGCCTTCCCATGTGTCACTCAGGCTTGAATTAGGAGTAATGAAATGAGGTCTGCATGATGGCTCGGCAGTGTCGAGCCCCGGCTGACCGTCAGAGGATCCAGGTCCAGTTCCCAGCATGCAAACAGCAGCCCCAAACCATCAACTCGTAACTCCAGTTCCAGGGGATCCGAGACTCTTTTCTGGTCTCTGCAGCGAGTACACATGCCTGGAGTGCAGACATACATGCAGGCGCTCACACACACACATGAAGGAAGTTAATCTGTGCAATGTGTGCTCTACAGATTTCTGCTGTTGACATCGCTGCCACGCAACGCACCGCTCCACGGTCCCTACCTGGGCTGAGAGGGCTTTGCTCTCCTCGTTGTACACAATCAGCGTCTGGTGGCCATTGTCACTTGGGATGACGCTTCCGAGCCTTCTGTGTCCAAACGCAGAGCGGCACCACAGCAGAGAAAGCGGAGCGGCTGTGATAATACAGAAAGGACAGAGCAAGCTCACCTCTGTCAGAGGCCTCAGGGAACCAGGTTCCGCTCACATCCACTCAGCCGCCACTGGACAGGGTCAGGCTCCGTCTGAATCATCTTAGGAGCTGAGCAGCCTGTGGGACTCAGGTACATGCTAACACTTCGTGCTGAACTCACTGCTTGGTATTAACTGACCAGGAATACTCTATTGTCTTTTGTTTGTTTGTTTGTTTTATTTTTTTGTTTTTTGGAATAACTAGTGCCCTTATTAACCTTAGCCAAACCCGGGAACCTAGACACCTGTGTACCTCTGTAACCATGGTTACTACAAACATATGCTCACCCTTGGACCCATGTTCCTCTGTGGATTCCATTGTTTACATAATTGCCTGCTGATGGAAACTGAATTTCGGGCAATTAGTGTGTCTGGCAACCTTCGACCTGAACAACCGTGGAGCTCATCCTCCTTCCACCCGTGCAGAGCCTGTCCCGGTGTCCGTCGGTCAGTGAGAGGCCCTGAGCTCCCAGGAGGCACTGACCTGCCAGAGCCAGGAGCGCTGCACAGACAGGGGACAGGGCCCACAACAGAAACCTCGTGTCGGAGAGAGTCTTGCACTTGGATCCACCAGGACAGGAGCAGACCCTCACGTGGACCGTCTGCCTCTGCGTGAGGCCCTGTCTGTCTCCTATGAATAGTGGCACCAAGTAATCCCCGGGCGGGAGGCTTCTCAGCATCACGAGCTCAGCAGAGCGGCCTGCAAAGGCAGGAAGACACGAATAGGCTCATTGGTTCATGTGCATCTCCTTGCTTCCCCCCAGGACCAAGACTTTGCATGGAAATGGGACAAGACAGAAAATACAAAATCAGGGAGCACATAGGAAAGAAGAGAGGCCCTTTGTCCCAGGATCTGGATGGCCTTTTCTGTTAGATACATTGATAAAGTCAAATTGCCTACAGATGGGGTGTCTTCCTAAAGACCCCAAGTGAGGATGACAGATAAGCTATGTTAACTTAGGGCCCAAATGATCCACAGCCTTGAGTTTTCAGCACCCCTCATTCTTAAACATAAACAACACTCCTTGTAACCCTACTTTACAGCTTTATTGACAAAAGTCTGTAACCTTTAAACCTTACTGTCAATTGTGTTATCTGAACAAGCAACTTAGAAAAGCTACAGGATCTTACCTACACTCACAGGATCCTACTTACATCTACAGGATCCTTGCTACACACATGGGACCCTCGCTACACATGCAGGACCCCACCCAACCCACAGGGCCCTGCCTACACCCACAGGGCCCTGCCTACACCCACAGGGCCCTGCCTACACCCACAGGGCCCTGCTTACACCCACAGGACCCTGCCTACATCCACAGGATCCTGTCTACACACACAGGATCCTCCCTGCAACCACAGGATCCTGCCTACACCCACTATAAATGCACTTAACTGGGACTCCTCCTTGAAAAACCTATACCCACACTTGGGTATAACTTACACTCGCCCATGAGCCTTTTTCTCTGATTGTAATAAACTCCACCTGCCTTTCAGTCTGGCTCACCCTGAAAGTCTTTTAAGTGGTAAAGTGAAGAATCCTGGGTTTGCATGAGTAAAGGGCCCTAGGGGAGAAGGGAGTTTCTGTCCATAGCAGTATGGAGCAAGGCCTCCATCCTTGTAGCTACCCCATTATTGCTGCTGGCAGAAGAAGCCATAGGAAACATCAGAAGGAAAGTCCCAAGACTAGTTTCATTTCTGATGGCAACCACAAGTTCACAACCTGCCTTGACCACGCTCAGGTGGACAACTGCAGTGGAGACAGGTCCTCCAGGCATTATATACTCATTGGCATCAGGAAACAGAGAGTGCTAGTGACCCACTAGGGACTTTAGGCCCAGATGAGAATTGGGGGACAGAAGGGCACAGAGCAGACAGTCATCTTCCATGGTGTCAGGAAAGCCATGAGTGACAGCAAGCATGCGATACTCCATCCAGGCAAGCTCACCCCAGTCCTTGTGCCCAGAATCCTTTCTGAGACTTGATAAGTAATCCTGGCTGGCCTCCCACACAACATACTCTGATCTTTAGGTTCTCCAAGGGTCACCTGAGACTGTGTGACCCAATGTCCCCACCCTAAATCACTTGTTGCCGTCTGTGTTAGCCCCTAACCCATACAAACCTTCACCCTGCTTCATCCTCAGCATCCAAGTACCAGCTACATCTCTCTGGGCAGAGTCCAAATCAAAAGTAAAGGGGTCAGAGTAGGGGTCCAGGTCTGCATCCTCGGCCTCTAAGAGCAGGGACTGGTTCCCAGCAGACTCGCAGATCTCCAAGTGTCGAGAATGAGACTGGAGAGTCGGAGCGTTGTCATTGATGTCAGACAGGAAAAGCATCAGGGTCCCTGTGCCAGTCAGTGGTGGGAGGCCTTGGAAGGGAGATCAACCCGGGACAACAGAGGAGGTTAAAGCACGGGAGTGAGAGAATTAAAATGAACTCACAAAACCCCAGCAGCGTCAACAGCTCCTGAACCAGGAGGGCTTGCAACAATCGCTAGCTCTCTGGAAAGTCAGTCAGTTTTCAGTCAGGGTGTGGCCCTGGTTGGTCGACCACCCTGCAGTGGACAGGGACACACAGAGACACACAGATACACACGGGCAGCACAAACTGTTCCTGACGGGCTTTTAAAAGATAAGAAGAGAAACACAGTCGGGTGTGTAGGGGAGGAGGTGGCATCTGAGCGGAGTTGATAGAGGTGAGCAAATATGATCGATCCAAATATGGAATTCTCAAAGAACTAATAAAATTGTGACTAAATGAATGAATAAATGAATCACTTAAGAGAAAATCAATCAAGCAAATGAAACCCAGCAGTATCTTAACTGGGAGAAACAGCACCTCCTTTTAACCCAGCTTTGAGGTGTGGTGCAAACAAAGGCAGGCTGGCCTGGTGTCCCTGCTTCTGCCTCATGTGGGGAACACGCCTGTGTTGCATCCTCCTTCCTCTGCCTCCCTCTCTATCTGAACTGCAAAATTCGCATGCTAAGGGGACCCAGGAGGTTGGACAGGCACCTGGTTTGCCAAGAAAAAGCTATAGCCAGTCTCTGCCCTACAAATCCTCCACAGAAACGGCAGAAGAGCGCCAACTTGCCCGGCAGCAGGAAAGCTGCTGCTCCCACCCATCACCCCATCACGACTTGACCTGTGAAGACAGGGGTGCACTTCCTGTGAGACAGACTACTCCCCATCCCACCTGTCAAGCCTGCACTGGGACGACAGCTCTTCCAGGGCCCCTGTCCCCTTTATTTTCTGAGAGTGAACAGGTAGTAGGCCCTCTGGGCCTGGTCCATCCATTCAGAGAGCCATCCTTGTGCACACAGGCCTGGTAAATAACCATGCTCAGCTGTGCCGCGGATGAATCCACCCACTGAAACATCCGGCCATTTCTCTTCCATGTCAAGAACTGCCCAGGTCTGTTTCTCACCTATATGAAAAGTCAGACCATCCATGAAAAGCAACAAAACCCTTGTCGTTATCTTGAGCCATTTGTAAATGAGGTAGCGTGTACTAGCACGTCCTGTCAGTCAAGTCACGTGTTAAGGGAAAGCGAGTGTCTGTAAAAGGGTAGCATGTGGGATTCCCAGGGAAGATGGGGTCAGTGTGGTTCCTGCCTGTTATGGTGGACTACACAACTTTATAAGGTGTTGTACTGGGGAAGCTGGCAAAGGGTGCTGGGGTGCTGAAACCCCTGTGAATCTGCTCGGTGTCTGACTGTCCGGTATTAGCAGTTTCGGTGTCACTGAGGGTGGCTCTCCCCTCATAATTCAGCAGCTGACAAAACTAGGTACTGAAACTCTGGACTCTGACCCCAGATGAAGACATGGCAACCAATCAGAACTGTCTGAAAGACTAAGACTACTTAGTAATAATCTACTACAGATCATATTGTAAATCTGGTAAAGTACTTGCCAATCACCGGGGAGGGAACATCCCTCAGGAAAGTGTCTATTTTAGAGACTTTAGGAACAGCATGAAGCCCACTTAAAAGTGGATGTTAGTGGTGGCCTCTTTGACCGTTGGCCACTCTCCTCACTCCATAAGTATGATTTCCTCCTCAATGGGCCCTATCCCTGCTGTCCACTCCCTCCCCCACTTCTCTCTAGAACACACTCATTGATCTCTATACTTCAACACATGATCTCTGAGTTATTCTGATGGAAATCACAAGGGCTGGGGAGCACAAGGGAGGGAGGAATGGTACAAATATATGATGATTTAAAAATCATCTTTTCTAATTAAAATTAGAACTAAAATTAAAATTAAAAACAAGTCATGGCCATCAAGCAACCATCCCCAACCAAATCGTCACACCCGAGAGCTCGGGTTGGCCCGCTTCTCTTCCCTGGACATCGACTAGAGGCTTGCTTCACTGACAAATAATTATGCAAGTGTGTTGGGCAGGCCCACGGTCCTTGGAGCCTGGGCTTTCATCCACAGATGTCTTTAGGTACGATTCTTAATGCTACTTGAAAACGTTCTCAGATGCAGCCCTGTGAGAATCTGGAGAAATGTGCTAAGACGTGTTTTTAAAACCACTCGTCCTGGATGATGACAAAGGCATCCCGCTCAGTCGCATTTGCTGCGGCTTATGAGCCATCCCAGGTACAGGAAGCTGCTAAATATTTATCACACATCGTTGGGCTTGACGAAGTGCTACTGCGTTATCTTTTGAACAGATGAAAATGGCAGGCCTGATGGCAGCTTCCCTCTCGATTTAATTGTCTCTGCTGAGTGAATACTGCCCCTCTTTCAGCAGAATTGGTCCCCAGCTTACCATTTCAGGAGTTATTATCAAAAATAATCTCCAGCATCGAAGCAAAGTGAAAACAAGGTTTATTTTATAATTTCCTCAGTGACGCTGAAAACGGCCTCCCTTAGAGGCCAGAGTCACCACTCTTAGCTCCCGGCTTAGCCGCAGCACTCACCACTGTCAACCGCATGGACGAGGATTGTGTAAAAGCTGCCGTTCACATGAGGGGACTCCCGGTCAATCTGCTGCTTGGTGGTGACCGCTCCTGTTTCTTCATCCACGGTCACCCAATCTGCTGGATCGTGAACCAGTTTGTACCTTGTAGAAGGAACACAAACACAATTTTTAAATTTAGAAAACTTTAGCAAAAGACAAATCATGGCTGTTATGGTGCATGCTTGTCATTCAAGCACTTAGGATGTGGAGTCAGGAGGTCATGAGTTCAAGACCATCTCCAGCTTTATAGAGGATTCAAGACCATGCCTCAAAATATCTTTTTAATGACAAATCAAAATATATCACAGAACTCCTGTGGTGATCTGAATACAAATGGCCTTCTTAGGTTCATAGATTTGAGTGCTTGGACACCAGGGAGTGCCACTGTTCGAAAGGATCAGGAGGTGTGGCTTTGCTGGAGGAAGTGCGTCACTGGGAGTGGATGTTGGGGCTTCAGAAACCCAGACAGGCCTAAAGGTTCTCTCTCTTCCAGTGCCTATGGATCCAGATGTAGAACTGTCAGTCACTTGACCAGCACCATGTCTGCCGTCATACTTCCTGCCATAATGACAATGAACGAAACCTCTGAAACAGTAAGCAAGGCTTAAACGCTAACGTGAGTGCCCTCGTCCTGTGTGACCTGAGCATAACTCAGCCTGCCTTGGGGAGACACGTGGTGCGGGAGCAGACCAGTCTATGAGTATCAACAGATGGCGGCTTTCCGTTCAGCACAGTGTGCCTCGGAATCATGGGTCTTGACCCTCTTGTAGCAGATCCTAAAGGACTCTCTCACTTGAAGATCATCCTCCCACCAATCACTTGTGAACCTGGAGCCATTTTATGCATGTGGCAGGACACTTCAGGGTTTCTGAGAGAGACTGGTATCAGATGGCATCCATTGGAACCATGTCAGGCTGCCAACCACTATGCCTCTGGAGGGACCACAGTAAGGGATTCCTGTACTCAAGCCAGGAGCACCAAACTCAGGCAGAGAAAGGGTCAGAGAAGGGAAGCTTCTCCAGGGGTTTCGTCTTCCTCATCTGGGAAAATGCTTTCAGCAGGGCCCACCGTGATCTCTCGTGGACAGTCAGTGGGTCATAGATTTTAAAGAGACCATTTTCTCTTGCACAACTTTAACAAGTAGGGAAGGTTCTAGAAGTCGCTGTGGTTTTATAGTGTTCACAAGCCAGGAGTAGAAACTCAAGAGTTCATCCATACATCATCTGAGGCCAAAAGCAAATTTGGGCATGAAAAATAACTAATTTCAACCGAAGGACTTTGAAAGAGAAAACACTAACTGTGGTCTGTGAATGCCACCTCTACCCTGGCGAGAAGACACAACCGATACCTTGACTAAGCAGGTATCTTATCAGTGACCGAAGACACACTGTAGGGTTCCATCACTGGGGTGGTCAAGACAAGGGGATGGACGGGAGAGTGGTGGCTGCCAGGGATCTGGGTAAGGGAAGTGAGGAAGTAGACTGGACAAGAGGTTGAAGGGAGGGGTTTGGGGGAGGAAATCTGGGGAAGAGGACTTGGAAGGGGCTGGGGGAGCTGGCTTTACTGGGTACAGAGAGATTCTAGGTGGTGTATGAATGTATTCAGTCCCACAAACTGAACTCTTATAGTGGTATACATAAATACCTCATTAAAATGATTTGACTGAAGTATTTCATTTAAAACAATAAATATTATTAAGAGTATTAATCCAGAAGCAAGAGAGCTAGGATATCTGGCAAAGAGAGACATAGAAACATGTTACAAAGCATTTTTGTACACAAAAGAGACTCTGAAGGGTCAAGGGGGGGGATCAGTGAGGGGACTCCAGGAGGGTGCTACAGGGTAAGGGTGCTAATTGGGTTAGTCCAGCCAGTTTACCAGGTAGCTTCTTACATTTTTACTCCTGGGACTGAAACAGTCTCAGCAACATTCTCTAACAGCCCCGTGGCCAACAGTCCTCACCCTGCAGCCAGCCTTGCTGCCTGCTTCTCTGTGCCCACCTTATCTGGCTGGTGACCCTGTCAGGGTCTGTAGCATTGAAACCTCCCAGCTGGACGCCCGGCCCGGCTCCATCCTCCTTGCTGACGATGAAGCTCCTGGGGTGAAAGGCTGGTGGATCATTGGTGTCCACCACCTGCACGCTCACAGTGGTGCTGGCCATGGCCTTTGTCGACGGCTGTGCCTGGCCCTCCTCACAAGAGAAGAGAGGCTCCTGATTCTCCACAACAATGACGAGACTGTGGGCTGCTTGAGTTTCATAATCCAAAGGCTGCCAAGGTAAGAGAGGGCTTGATTAGTGCCCACTGCTCCCCTTGCTGGAAGACGCTTAGCAGAGTCATCAGAAGCCCAGCGGTGGGAGGAGGTGATCAAAAGCACAGAGCCACCCTCCGTCAGAGGGTGATGAAAAATGCAAGAAAACCCGGAACTCATGAAACATTCAAGTCTTAACCGTGCCACAGGAAAAAAAAAAAAGAAATCAGAGGAACTTGGAGAAATATAAATACTAATGATCATAGCTACTCAGGGTACAAAGTAGCCTGGGACTTGGAAGGACTCAGCAGCCGGGAGGGTGACAAACTCAATGGCAGGCAACTGTGCAGCGGGTTGTCAGATACTTGGTATTCACAGTGTGGTCTGCGGCTTCTGAACGTTTCCTGGATCTTATTCAACTGACAGGCAGAATCTCGACTCTACCCAGAGGCACTGACTCTGGTCGGCCCGTTCAGTTGAGGTAGCTGTTCTGTGCGGGAGGTGCTGGCCATTCTTAGCTCTCCTTGAAAACCACAAAGACTAAAAGCGTCAGCGCCCGCCTGCCCCTGTCAAGCCCACTATTCTCAGCCTTGTGACTTTATGTAAAGGGTCTCTCTGGTCTTTGATTTCCTCACCCATAAAACATGGCTATAATATTCTCCTCCAGGGCCAGCTTCCTTGAGCTCAACACTCATTACAACCCACACAAATGCCCCAATATTTACACTTCAACTGCTTAAAATGTTTTAAACCTGGGAGATTAAAAGAAGAACTTTTCATTAGAGAAACATTTTAAAGGATGGGGGGGTGGCCCAACTAGTCCCACACTTGCCTAGCATGCACAAAGCCCTGGGTTGGAGTCCCAGCACCACATACAGTAAGTATGGTTGTGTATGTCCCTAATCCTGGCACTCCAGAGTTAGAGACAAGATGAGAAATTCAAGGGACTCCTCTAACTATGTAATGTAATGAGCTCAAGGCCAATCTGCAATATTTGAGACCCTGGCCTAAAAAATTAATATTTTTTAAAGTTCACTTTTCATCACATCAGGAAAAGAAATAATTAAAACTCCAGCCTTAGGTGAATGTGATAGATTTTGTCTGTAACAACAACAACAAAAGGTGTCAAAGAACTCAATAGCATAAAAAGTCTGTTTCTTGTTACTGCAGGAGGAGCCCTTGGCCTCTACACAAAGGGCTCAGATGGTCCTGCATTCTTCAAAGGATGGCACAGGGCACACTATGCATTCCACACACAGTGAGTGCTTAGCAGGTACTAGCTCCTTAGTCATTATGGCTTGTCCTCCAGACGGGAACCATAGCATCCACCACCGCCTGACCCTGACTTTACCTTGATAACATTTAATACTGCTCGGTTGGTCTCAGGGTCAGTCATGATGTCAAAATGCCCCTGCTCATTGCCATCCACTATGTGGAACTCTGCTCTCCAAGCTGGTGTAAACGGTGCGTCTCCGTCTTGAACAGGGAGACACAACGTGCCCCATGCGACTTCACCTTCAGAAATCTGAATCTCATACTGGAAGAAATCATCATCATGTTCACGTCACAGACGCGAAGACACAAGATGGAGAAGAGGACGGGGGCTGGGGAAGGACTGGGTCCTCATCGAGACACCCTTGACCTTCAAGCATTTCAATTTCTCCAGCTATATTAGGGAGACCATGAAGTCGGGAGCATACTCCTCCATATGAACAGCGTTCCCTGAGACTCTGTGCCTAAAGCTGGATAATTTTAAAGAGATTCTTCAGTCCAACTCAGTGCATTCTTCCACTGAGAATTTTTAAGATGCAATACACAGCCTAGCCCACGTGTCATAAGTATCCTAGCTCTTCCACAATGGGGAGAGATTTATTTGGATCAAGGGGACCATCTTTCCAGTGCACACAGTTCCTTGAAACAGCTCATTTTTCAGTAGTTTTTGTAGAGAGTCTCTAAGCAAGCACAGCAGGACAGTGAGGTATTATTTTTCCAGGCTTACTATTGAGCGCATAGATTTTTCCTAAACCAGGGAAGGATTCTGACATGGGCTTAACTGGAACATTATTTTGTCATTGGTATAAACTTTCGGATAAGGAACTTTCCCTGAAAACATTCCATGTTGGTTTATGTAATTAAAACATGTAAATAACCCATTTTAAAATTAATTGGTTGAATCATTAATGCAACAGTCAGTACGCACTGGTATAATAGTAATAATAATGATAATGATAATGATGATAATACTAACATTTATAAGGAGTTGAGAATGGAACGCCTGTGTTGGGAGAGGAAATCAGGCAGGAGCTAGGATAAATGAGTTCATTAAGTTGAACACCACAAGGCAGATGAATGCACAAGGGCTTAGAGTATTCAGGAGGGGTACAGGGTGTTGACTGGGTCATCAAGAAAAACTCCTCTCGGGATCAATTTGTGTGTGCAAGAACATACATATGTAGGAGCCGCCCCCCACCCGCCCAAGACACTGTGAAAGTGTCAGTTCTAGCCTTCTATCCACGTTCCAGGGATGGAACTCACGCCGTCAGGAGGGCAGCATGCTCCTGTGCCCACTGAGCCATCTTGACGGCTCCAACCTTGCTCTTGGAGACAGGTTTCCCACTTAGACAGGTTTCACCAATTAGGCAAGGAAGGCTGCGAATGGACCCCATGGATCTTCCTGCCTGGCCTCAGTGGACAGCACCATGCCCAGAGTTTTATGTGAGTGGTGGGTGTCAAACTCAGGCCTTCACACGTGGGAAGCAAGTATTTAACAGATGGGACTATCTCTCTAACCCCAGGTGGACTTCCCAGTTCCAGTTTAGGTTACTTTTGAGTATCGTATGTACTTGCTCATGACCCAGGAGGAGTACATAAGCCTAGGGCTTGGGGACCTTTGTAGAGGGCTTAGAATTCAGGCACCCTATGCCTTACATGGTCTCCCACAAATGTGGGCATGTGGTTGTTGCCTTCTTCCACACTGATGTGAATGGTGGCTGTGGATGACAGGGATGGCTCTCCACAATCCGTCGCTCTGACTATCAGAGTGAACCAAGGAGCAGACTACATGGGAAAGAAAAGGAATGTTAAGTCCCACAAACACAGGTGAGGGAAATAATAACAAGGACATTTCCTTCTAGCAATTTCTATAGCAAGGCTTAACCACAGAAGACTCCCAGTTGCAAATATAGACCCCAATCTGGGGCTGAGGCATAAACAACACTGTGTGAGTGTGTGTGTGCACGCGCACATGCACACATCGCCAGAAGTCAACCTTGGGTGTTCTTCAGGAACTGTTCACTTTCATTCTTGATTCAAAGTCTCTCATGGAGCCTGAAGCTCACCATTTGGCTAGCCTGGCTGGCCAGGAAGCCCTAGAGAGAAGCCTTTCTCTGCCTCCGTAGCTCTGGGACAACAGGCACCCTGCCACAGCACTGGTTTACATGGGTTCTGGGACTGGGAGCGGGTGTTCCTGCCAGGGCAACAATCACTTTGCTGACAGAGCTAGTTCACCAGCCCCGGTGCATTCAAATAATAAAATCTACATAACCTCATATTTTAAGCATCCCGAGAGTCGTACTTCCCCACTGATGAGATCAATCCGAAAGCCACTTTCTCTCAGTAATGGTGTTTGAGAAACGAGGAAATAAAGGACTTGAGAATTTGGAGTGTTTTCTTGATCCAAATCGACCGTTAACAACTGAAAAATAGGTTGACCTAGAAAGAAGTTTTTAAGAATGTTATTGCTGGCTGAAGGTTGTTTGCCAAAGCAGACAGAGGGAAGAAACTTTGCAAATGGCATCAGGGCACACACCAGAATGGATGAGATATTTAAATGAAAAATCAGCATACAGATACACTATGCAAAATAAAGGTGGATATTTAACTCAGGGTAAACTTCAAGGAGCTTTCTAGCTAGGATTGCTTCTGCAGAAGAGGGCGGGGTACAACTGATACATGAAGTTTTTAAATCTATAAGAAATCCAGACAAAATTTAAAAGTGAGTGATAAACACTTAAAATGCATGTGCCAAGTATGTGTTATTTACATAGAAGAAGCAAGTTGTGATCAGGGAGCAAATGACAAGCATATTAACAGAAAAGGTGCACTGATTAAAAAAGAAAAGGCTGAGAAATGTATGGAAATGTTCAGCCACAGGAAAGATGTGCAGACAATACTTGGCATGCTCTCACGCTCCGTGGAATGAATACTTGACCCACTTCAATTCGCCACCCGTCTGAACCAGTCACTCTTCTCCTCTGGGCTTAAGTATTGTGAGTGATGCCTGAGAGCAGCACCAGCCAGCTCAGATACATTCCTCAAACAGTTTGCAAAAATACTTTTTAAATGACATCAACCAAACAGTCAGACACAGGAGACCAAGGAGATATCTCAAAACATGCCCACCAAAGATCTAGTGTACCAGATGTGCAGGCAAACGTGGCAGAAAAGTATTTATATTAGTACATGTCTGTATGATAGGGGCACACATGCCACAGAGCATGTGTGGGCGTCTCGGAACAGGTTTGTGGAGTCAGTTTTTCCTGCTGTCTTCGCAGGAGTTCCGGGGTAGACCTTGGAGCTTCAGGCTTTAGCAGTGCTTACCAGCAGGGCCATCTCACAGTACCAAACCAGCTTTTTAAACCAGGAAGCATTCACAGATAGAAAGAGATATCCAGCATCTATAAACATTTAGGTACTAATACATGTACATTTCCTGCTCTCATAAAAAGTACGTATGTAAGTGTGTATTTACACTCACACAGAACACCTGACAAGGCATGAACATGCACAACACAAACTGTGGGTAAACATGCATGTAAAACCCAAAGGAAAAAAGTCCTAAAACTTTACAAACTTCTGAAAACGCTTCCTATTTCCATGGCTTCAGGTCTTCAGATTTTCCAAAGACTATTTTACAATATTAAACACTGCTTTTGTTATAAAAATAGATTCTCCTTCTAGGAAAATTAGTTTGGCATGTAAAGATTTACTTTCTGAAACCCAGAGGCCAGATGTCATCTCCCTGTCATTCTGCAGATGAGACACTTGCCGAGCCCCTGGTGAGCCTGCCATGGCTCCAGCTCCATCCCTTGAGGTGTGGCTTTGTTGTTACGCTACATTTACACGCCCGCTCTTCCAGACGGCACAATTTCCACATCCTTCCACGGCCAACACAAAATGAAGCTAACGGAGAGCAAAGCCTTCAGCGACTCTGGGCCTGCGACCTTTTATGTGAGCAGTGAAAAGCCTTCCTGAGTTACCTGGATCAAAGTCCCCATCACTATCAAAGCAAGAAGCAGGGAAGCCACACAGGGCAAAGAGAGGCATACTCACACAGTGGAGCACACCCAACGCACCTGCAGCATGGCTCTCTTTCACACTGATGTTAAATTCCTTCTCGGGAAACTGGGGTGCGTGATCATTCACGTCTCTGACTCTAATGTTGAAAATCAGGGATTCGTCCACCACTTTCCCTGTGGATCGATCCACAGCATCAAAGTAAACCTGGGGAGCAGAGAACTCTGTAAACAGTGTGGGTGAGTATACCCAAGGGCACTGATCAAAGAACCAGTAATGCCAAGATGAGTAGTGCGGTCCCAAGGACCTGCCTCGGCGCCATGCTCCCCCAGCACAGGCTCCTGCAGATCATCTATGTGCAGATCTGGGGGGAAAGCCCAGTCATTATCAAGGTCAGACTTGGCTTCTCCATTTGAGTAGACCTGAGCAAGATGCTGGAGAGCTGTTTCTACAGTTTATCAGTGTCATCTTGAGAAATGAAGACACGGTTACTATTACTAGGTCTTGAGAATGATAGCTGAGACCTATAGGTTTTGGAGAAAGGGATGCCCAGAGGAACCACTGCAGTTGCTGACAAATCAGGTTCATAGAGAGCCAATGTCCTCACTGAGGTAGTGAAGAGGAACAGCCATGCCTCTCCAGCTTGTCCAGGAGAACTACCTTGCTAGAGGCTTCTACTAGAAAGTTAAACTTGTATATTGAGAACGTTTGGGAAAGTTAAACAAATTAACCCAGATAGAAAGGAGGAAATAACAGAGATCAGAGCAGATTATCAATGAAATGAAAAACACCAAACAACGGCCATGGTTGATTAAACTAAAAACACTCTAGAAAAATTGACGTGTGGGATGGGGCACAGAGAACAGACAAGAGTGAACGAAGGAATCCAGACCATAAGTGAGAGAACAGACATTACTACAGATCTCACGTGTGTAAGAAAGACAGAAACCCTTCTCCCTTAAGCTGTTTCTTATCAGGGAATTTTACCACTACATCAGAAATGAAACCAGAACACACACACACACGCTTGCAGCCATGCACCCACACGCATATGCACATGCTCACACACACATATGGACCCACATGCATTTACACATGTACACACACCTACACACATGCACATATGGCACATGCATGTGTATACACACATATGCACATGAGAAACACACACGTGCAAACACATACATGTGTGCCCATAATTTTTTTTTATAAAGAAACAGTCTAAAAGGGCTATGAACCACAGAAGTGCAGCTCCATCACAACCTGGAAATGGCAAATTTATGGATAATAAAAAGGATAATAAAAAGCTTGTGGTTCTCAATAGGGGAGGGGTGAGCAGGTGGAATATGGCGGGTTTCAGAGCAGGAAGCTCCTCCACAGGAGGCTGTGGTGGGAGCCCTTACAACACAAAACATCAAGAGTGCACCTGGACAGAGACAAGGCAAGCAATGGGCTTTGACTGGTGATACTGTAAAACCCTGGCTCCTCAGTTACAACAGAAATACACAAACCACACCAGGGCAAGATGCCGACAGCCGACAGCGGGGACCTGGGAATCTCAACACCGCGTGCTGTGCTGCTCTCTCACACATCTGAAAATGGTATAAAAGGCACAGCCCACTCGTTACAGGGTGTTCTTGATTATAATATTAAAATAAGGTAATGTTTACTACATAACTTAAGATATGCCATTAATTATAAAACAGAAGTTGGGAGGTAATAAACGTATTTCTAGAAATTGATCTGCTTACATGTTGAGAGAGGCGCATGTGTATTTTCAAGTGACTGAAACCCGCTTCACCACTGTGCCTCCTTTGCCCCTGGGTGCAAGGGTTTGGTCTGTTGAAGGCTGGCAGGCCGGAGGGACGGAGCATGAGAGAGCCTGCAGGAATTCAGTCGCAGCAAAAGGAACTGAATGCCCATGAGCTGCAGTTTGAAGGTGCTCCCAAGCACAGCAGCCCTCCACCACGGGACCTTGGTTGCAGGCACAGGGATCAATAAAAACGAGTTTCTTAAAGAAGAGCAGGGGGGGTCCACGGGCAGATGAACCCCTCGTACCCTGGCCCTAAAAGCCCTAGTGAGCACCATGTTCCCTCTGTGCTAGAGAATGACTGACTATTCAACACTCGGAAGAGGTAGAGGAACCCAAAGCCCAGCCAGCAGGCAGAGGCTGAAGCACGGGTCTAGCCTTCCACTTCTTACCTGGCATCTCAGAACCAATGTGGGCAGCCTCAGTCTCCTCAGGGTCAGCTTTCCCCTCCAGGAAGGCTGACGGCTGCTGCAGGGCTCCTACTCCTGAGCTACTCCGCTTCAGGGACTCTAGCATACATTTTTAAAGTTTTCACAAGCAAATTGGCTCTCTCCCACACTGTTGCTCCCTCGTCCTCCATAATTCATCACGGTGCCGGCAGCTCAGCTCCTTAATCACCCTGACTCCTCGCTCTGAAACTGGGCCAACCGTAATCCTCCCACTTAAACAAGAACCGTGTGTTTGTTTTGTGTTTATTATTTTATATTCCATTTATTATCCTAAAAGCTACATCTGAGACCTTTAGTTCTGACAGATGCCTGAGGGGCGTGAGTGCTGTTTATTCATTGGCAAGATGCTAGGAAATTCCAGGGGACTCAGTCACAATGCAGAAAGGAAATACCGCCGGTGCTTTCTGTACGCCGAATGGTTTTCAGCCTTTTGTTATAGCCCGGAGATTTACACCCTTGGATGAACAAACCATGCAGCACTTGCATGACAGACCGCCATATGGCATTTGTAATTACACGCACAAGAGCTATAGCCTCACACCCAAGCTAGCAGACGGAAGCATCCGAGATGCCGGAGGCACAGTGGGAAATCAGTTACATGCATGGCTTAGAAGTGGGTCAGAGTCTCGGTGCAGGGATGGTCAATACACAATTATTTGAAAGAATATAAAAGAATGGACTGGAATGGGCATTTGTGTCCTATGAAACTGAGAAGATTTAAAATAAATAGAGAAGATTCCTTTACAGGAAAAAAAGACATTCTTCTCTTTATGAATCTATCATAAATCATATTGCAATTCTCAGCAGATTTTTACAGATTTCTTTTAAGTTTAAGACATTAAGAAGGTAGTTCACCCCCCCACACTCCCAAACCCAAATTCTACAAGTCACTATATAAAGAGCCTTGCTCTTGACCTGAGAGAGATTTTCATGAGGGAGCGGGTCTCTCACCTCTTAGAACCTACATTCTGATGGAAGAGTTAGACTTTAAAATCAAATACAAATGCACAAATTCCAGAAAACTCTGACATTAAAGAGAAAGTGAAATGGAGTCACAGAATAGAGGGTGCTCAGTGGATGGTGCCAGCTCAGAATTTCCACCCTATATTCTATAGACAAATGAGAGGACCAGGTGGCTTGATTTTTTAATAGCATTTGCATATTTACATAAATGTACATAAAGGACCACTGTAGGCGGCTGGGGAGATGGCTTAGTTAGTAAAATATCTACTATGCAAAATGAGTTGGCGCTCCTAGGATCCATGAACAAGCCAGTCATAGGGGCATGCATCTGTATTCTAGCCCTGAGGGTGTGGGGACAAGGACAGCCAGTCTAGAAAACAGGTGAATTTGGATTCAGTGAGAGACCCTGTCTCAAAAATAAAATGGACAGTAAGTAACAGAGGAAGACACCCAACCTCCACATGCACAGAAACAGAGATGGAAACACACATACACCCCCACACACCCCTACACATACACACACACATACATACACCTATACACACATATACACACCTACATACACACACCTATACACACATACACCTATACACATCCCTATATACACATACCTATACACACGCATACACACAGAAGCATGTATACACACCAACACACACACCTACACATAAACATGCACCTACATACACACGTACCTACACATACACACATACATGCACACACACCTACACACACACAGAGTCAATGTAAAAAGACAAATATGATATTGACGACACAGTGTAACAAGCCCCAGACCTCTGTACAACCGACACCATGATGGAAATACCATTCAGGCCTTGGAACCCAGCACACAGGCAGAACCACCTGCCAGCATAGGAGCAAAGAAAGACCTTAATCCACCAAAGACCATAGTTTGGGGAAAGTCCCTAAATATACTAACCATGCTTTTCAGCTCCTGTACTTCTGCTTCTGGCTAAATTCTTACTAACTGAGGTACGTCAATCCAGGATTTGGGTTTGTATTTAAAAACCCACCCTAAAAGGCTCAGGACTGCCCTTGGGTCTGAACACACAGTGTTCATTGGCTGACTTGACTTGAACCACATGGTCTGCTCTAGTGGGTATCTCCCTCCCTTCCTCCCTCTCTCTCTCTTTTTTTTCTCTCTCTCCCTCCCTCTTCTCCCTCCACCCCCTCTCTCCCTCCACCCCCTCTCTCCTGCCCTCTCCCCCTCTCTCTCTCACACACACACCAGTGAGATGCCTGTCCCTTTGGAAGAGTATCTAACATGTTACACCTTTTTGTTCTAAATGGTGCCTGGGAATTATCTGTGACTTGAACAGTGTCTTAGGTTTTCTATTGCTGTGACCAAACACCATAACTTAAAAGCAAGTTGGGAGCAAAGTGTTTATTTGGCTTACATGTCCAGATCATAGTCTATCGTTGGAGGAAGTCAGAACAGGAGCTCAAACAGGGCTGGCTCCTGAGGCAGAAGCAGATCAGGGGGTGACAATGCAGGGGTGCCGCTTACCGGCTTTCTTCACATGGCTTACTCAGCCTGGTAGAGCCCAGAACTACCATCTTAGGGATGTCACCACCCACCATGCACGGGCTGGGCACTCCCTCATTGGTCACTAATTGAGAAGATGCCTTACAGCTGGATCTCATGGAAGCATTTCCTCAATGGAGGCTCCTTCCTCTCTGATGACCCTGCTTTGTGTCCAGTTGACACACACAAGCAGCCAGTACACACAGCTCATCCATCCCAACCCCAAGTTTCACAAAAAGTTCTTAGGGACGGGGCTCTGTGTTAGCAGCTTCCAGGCACCAAACACATCCAGCCTGTGATGTGTCAAATGTTTAAAGCAAACAAACACCAACCACACTGGGGCTTTGGTTTGGTTCAGTCTCGCTGGGGCTCTCCCTGCTGCTGTGCACCATAGCCATGCCTCTCAGCACAGCAGCCCAGAACAGTGACTCAGCATCCCTTCAGGGCTCATCAGACATACAGACTGTCTGGTCCCAACCGAATGGATGGGCAGTTTGCATTGTGTGTGTTAATGTGTATGTGCACACATGTGCACGTATGTGGAGTCCAGAGGCCTAACTCAAATGTCGGGCTCAATTTCTCCACAGTATTTTCTTGAAAGAGTGTCTCTCCTTCACTGGAGCTCACCAATTTTGCTGTATTGACTGGCCAGAAAGTTCTAGGAATCCTCCTGTCTCTACATCCCCAGCTCTGGTGTTACAGGTGCATACTGCTTTCAGCTTTTTACATGGGATCTTGGAATCAAACTTAGAGCCTCAGGCTTGGACAGCAAGCGCTTCACCCACTGAGCCACCTCCCCAATGCAGAATCTGCTTTTCCCCACGCTCCTCCAGTGGTCGGTTTGTTTATGAAGAACTGAGAAGCTGCTGTAGGATTCCTCTCGTACTTTTTCCCTTCCTAATAGCACCATAAATCCTGAAGACAGGGAGGCTAGAGAAGACAGAGATCGTGGGGCTAGAGAAGAACCACAGAGTCAACTTTGCAGCTCGTGGGGTTTGGTTTGGGGAGAATTCCTGTCTCTTTAAAAAACGAGTAGGCGCCTGGCGGTGACTTTAAGGCTTATATTTTGTTGTACATATAAATATTTTGAGGCTGCTGGAGGAATACTTCATAAATTCCCTTTCTCAGATAGCAAACACCATATTCCCACCCTGGTGGGGTTAACTGACAGCCAAGCCCTGTTCCCACAAGTTCCCTGGAACAAAGGATGACAACCTTTGTAGCCAGCAGAGACTGGAACATGATACACCACCCCGTGACTTGAGACTTTTTCTTTGTAATTTTCTTTCCTGGTTTGGAACCTGAATTTCAACTGCACAGAAGGTCACGAAGTGATAAAAACCCTGAATACACAAGGACCTCAATAACTTGTCAGCAAATCCTCCCGCAGCAGCTACCAGGCACTTCTGGGTTCTGTGTGTAGCCACTCTCCACCCTCCACCCTCCAAATGTTGGCTACCGGAAACCAAATCCCAGCACTTTACAGATGCTCTGTGGCTCCATCCCCAAATGACTTCCAATCTCTCAGTCCTGTTGGGCCAGTGGTCTGAAAGTTTGTCCATCGCACCTCGCTCCCATTGCGTCAAACTTTGATAGTGACTCCATAGTTAGCTACATCCTACACGTGACTCCAAAACCGGGCACCCTGAATATGTACTAACTTCCCAGATCTGGACAAAGTTCAACATCTTACAAGAGTTTTGCACTAAATACAAGCTTAGACTGGATCCATTTTAGGTACCAGAAAAGATGGTGTCACTTCTCGGTCCACGGCCCGGTGCACGTATATTTTTCCACTCTGGTTATCTTCTATAGAGAATAAGCCGATCTCTGGAAATTCATCCACGCCAGGCCCTCTGAGTAAGTACATCAGGGACACATTATTGGACATATTATTGAACAGCTGAAAATAAGAAAATCAGAAAAAAAATTAAAGGACTCTGCCAATAAATCGTGGTGAGCTTCAAACATCAAGACTAAGAACCAAGGCATCTTTCAGGAATCTAAGCAAGGCATCTCACTTCTAAGGGGCTGGGCTAAGGAAGCAAAAGGCTCAGCAGAGATGTGGGAACAAAGATATTGGGGCAGAGGCTGGAGAGGGAGCTCCATGGTTAAGAGGGTTCTGTTGGAAATATTATGTTAAGGTGTAAACAGAGATTCACGTTGATTTTGACTGCCCATACCCAAATAATCACACAGAAACTATATTAATTACAACACTGGCCAACGACTCAGGAATATTCCTAGCTAACTCTTATATCTTAAATTAGTTCTATTTTTTCATATTTTACCACATAGCACGTAGTTTGTTACCTCTTGCTTCTTGGACAGCTACATGGCATATGCCTGACTCCGCCTTCTTTCCTCCTCTATCTCTGCTTGGATTTCCCACCTTGCTATATTCTGCCCTGCCACAGGCCAAAGCAGCTACTTTATTAACTCAGGGTAATAAAACATATTCACGGCATACAGAAGGGAATCCCACATTATTAAGGTGTGTTACTTTTGTTTATGTTGCATTTGTTTAACTCTGTGAAGCTGCGATACTTTGCCTGTCTAGAACATCTGATAGTCTAATGAAGATCTGAACGGCCAATAGTGAGGCAGAAGAAAGGATAAGTGGGGCTGGCAGGTGGAGAGAATACATAGAAGGAGAAATCTGGGTTCAGAGAAGAAGTAGCCAGAGAAGAAGGAGGACGTTAGTGGCCAGTCATCCAGCTACACAGCAGTCTACGGAAGAAGAGTAAGATTTACAGAAGTAAGAGAATGAAAGAAGCCCAGGGGCAAAAGGCAGAGGGGAGAACATAAACTAAGGCAAGTCTTCAAGAAGCAAGCCAACTAAGGCCGGACGTTTGTAACTGAGAACAAGACTCCTTTTGTGATTCATCTGGGAGCTGGGTGGTGGGCCCCCGAAAGAGTTCAAAGAACTTAACAACAGACCACTGCAGTGTTCACCGTTTCAAAAAACGAGTTTGTTTTCCAGTTCTATATAGCTTACAACTGCCTGTAACTCTAGCTCTGGAAGATCGGTAGATACATCTGCCGCTGACCTCTGTAGACAAAGCTGCTCATGTCTGCAAACCTATACAAGGACACGCAGATACATGTCATTACAAATAGTAAAAATAAAATCTGTGATTGGAGAGCTGACTCAGTGGTTAAGAGTGCTTACTTTTCTGTTCTTGCAGAAGACCAGAGTTTGGTTCTTAGCACTCATTTCAGGAGGCTCACAACCACCTGTGACTCCAGTTCCAGTGAGATTCTAGTCCTCTGACATCCATAGACACCTACACTCATATACATGAAAGCACTTAAGCACATACACACACACACACACACACACACACACACACACACACAAAATTAAAATAAAAAATAAGTCTTTTAAAAAATAAACTAAAGATATTGGACTGGAATAGAGAAACTGGAAACAGCATGGATGTTTATGGGATTAGAAACACCACACAAGAATGCCCATCCCATGACCTCAGACATCTGCTGCCCAGGCTGAGGATGTGCCCTGCCTGGAAAGTCTGGCAGCCACACTCTTAAATGAGAAAAGGGAGTCACAGAATGGAACGTGTGCTGTGATCTTAGTCCTTTACACACTCACATTCCTAAACCTGCACCAAAACATCTGGTGCCAACTTGTTAATATGGGCTTTCTCTTGAGAGAGAGAGAGAGAGAGAGAGAGAGAGAGAGAGAGAGAGAGAGAGAAAGAGAGAGAGAGAGAGAGAGAGAGAGAGAGAGGTCACACTTAACTTTTCATAAAGAGAAGCTATGAGCAGCCCTTGGCTGACTCTTATTCTTTTTTAATCCCAGCACTCAGAAGGCAGAGGTAGGTGGATCTCTGTGAGTTCGAGGCCAGCCTGATCTAAAGAATGAGTTCCAGGGCAGGCTCCAAAGCTATAGAGAAACCCTGTCTTGAAAAAACAAAACAAAAATGAAACGCCTGCAGGGACCAGTGAAGTAGACCTGCATGTTAGAGTCATTCTCATTCAGTTAGGGGGGAGACACCAGTCTCAAGGTACACACTCAGACGGTCCCTAGAAATCAGCTATCACAGTCCAAGCCAGTGTCCTGCCTGCTTGTCTTCACTGCCTGGTTATAAGTCAGGCAGGCACACAGCAAGGCAGCTGCCAGAATCCACTCTATAAAGAGGGTGTGATTCTGGGTTTTCCCCCAAAGAAATAATCAATAAATGCCAGCAGGAATCAAGACCCCACTCCTCCATCCAGAAGGGACAGAAGGGACTTACTGCTCACAGAGGCCAGAGTATGTCCTTACCTCCCCAACCAGTTTGGGAAAGGGCCCTGAATCTTCCTCCTCCAGCTCCAGAGTGGTGAGAACCCATCTTCTCTTGGATCTCCGCAGAGGTTGGTGGTTCTGTCCCTACAGGGCATAGGATGGCAGTATCAGTGAAGATGAAGGTAAGGCTAGCAGCCGGAATCTGTAATATCTGAGTGTCATAGCTGGGCACTGAGCTGACTCCACATAAGCCTCCTGTCTCTTGGATACAGAGCAACCATCTAAGCTTGGCCATTGCAAATATCTGTCCTCTTAACAACTCCTGTCATTCCTAAAAGTGAGGTACAGGTTACCTAATGATTTCACAAGGTTTGTTAGATAGCTTTGTGAGCTATGCAGACATGGCATTAAAAACCATTTTCAACCAGGTCTGAATGTGTGACCTACAACAATAAGCCAACAGCCTAATACAGAGAAAGTCATTCCCTTCATTAGTCTCTTGGTTTTCCTGAAATCATTGACAAAAATGTTTCCATTTGTTGCCAGCAGGCTTTTATTTTTTAAAAAAAATTTTTTTTTGCTTATTTATTATGTATACAATATTCTGTCTGTGTGTATGCCTTCAGACCAGAGAGGGCACCAGACCTTACTACAGATGGTTGTGAGCCACCATGTGGTTGCTGGGATTTGAACTCAGGACCTTCAGAAGAACAGGCAATGCGCTTAACCACTGAGCCATCTCTCCAGCCCCCGCCAGCAGGCTTTTAATGTTAATGTTACTAGTCTCCCTTTTAACCAACATGTGTATATACAGACACAAGACTCTGAATTGAAGCATTCCATCCTGGAAGGAAGCTCATTAAACCCAGGAAAGAAACAACTCACAAGTCTCAGGAAATCCTTGAAACTTACAGGATTCACAAGGTCCCTCCCAGATTTCAAGGTTATATAAGCGGTAAGAAGAGATAATAAACAAGGAAGTGGTGAGGATAAGCCTGCAGGCTTGCACCTTCGACTGTTTTTGGCTCTTCCCAGTTAGACATGAAGGCCTCACTGACTCCACAGACAGCACCTGGGCTGCTAGAAGACCATGTGAAGCTGAAATTCTTTGTCCCACAGAGCCAATGTGAACACGCACTGAATAAGTCAGTCCTACCCTTCTGTGGGCAAAGGGCAGATTCTGCCTTCTTTCATTAGAACCGACTTCCAACCCCACCAGTGTGATCAAGACAGTCATCAGCTTCTTCTTGGAAGTTATTAATGACTCTGACCTTAAAAGCAAAAATGACACTAACTAATTAGTGCCATTAATTAATGTCCTTATCAGTGTTCTACAGCAATTGCCTGAAGTAGAACCTCTACATTTAGATTTTTGGTTCATGGTTCTAGGGATACAACTCAGGGGGCTCCTCCTGGGTGCTAGGCAAGCGCCATGCCTGAACTACATCCCAGCCCCTGGGTTTAGTGTCAGAGGCTATGATTTCGTGTTCATTGCATGTCCATTTAGATCACCTTGTCCCTAACCCCAGGGGAAGAAATCAAAGGACTCTGGTGTGTTGTTGCTAATGGAAGGGATCCTCAATCCTGAACCACCCCACTATTCTACCACGGAAGGAGATGGCGCTAACCTCATGTGGTCAGGGTTAGCGCAAAGCCTGACACGTGTGTAGGAGTCAATGTCAGTTGGTGGTGGGACTTAGCTGGGCTTTTCTGTGTCCTCTCCTGTTCTTTATTTACAATAATTGCTATAATAATAGAACTTGGCATTTTCACTGGGAATCCCTAGTGTGTGGTTTGTATTCCAACAGCTCCTCCCCCATCTCACAAGTTCATATGTAAGACTGCAGACACACAAAAAGACACATCCTACAACGGCGTCCAAAGCTGGCAGTACACTGATGGGTGTGTGCTTGCTTTAGATAAGGCAGAGGCAGAGAAAGGGTGCACATAGGGAGCATATGGCAAGGCAAATGGGACAAAAGTTTAACAGATGATAAATTCTCATAAAAGGTATTCCTACGGGCCACGGAGTTGGCCCAGAATGGAAAGGCGCTCGCTGCACAGTCCTGGTGTTTATCACTGCAATAGAAGTCTTAAGGCACACGCACACGCCTGTGCACACATACAATCATCAAACTCACAAGATGCACCAAGGCCTGAGGGTGTAGAAGCAGATCGTGGCTGAAAGGTCCAGAGCAGAAGACACCACGTCTGTCAAGTTGATTGGCTTAGCAAGCTGTCACTCATGCTGGGGTGGGGCTTATTGGTGACACAGCTGCCCAAGAGTCACCCATGCTCCTGCACACAATCCCTCACCCACATTGTCCCAGTAAGAGACCCTTTCACAGACTCGCTGAGCTGGGCTTGGCTGGAATTATTTCCTTGTATGTTGCTGCTCTCTTCCAAGTCATTTCTGTATCTCCTGGAAAGTTATAGCAATTATGAAAGCTCATTCCATTATATTCAGATTTCATATGGGAGGGGATGGTTGGGACATCAATACTGTCATGTTTTGGTGTAGTCTCAAAAGAGAAAATCCAGAATTCCCTATTCAAAGTATTCAGATCATTCCAAATGCAAACACGTGGGAGGCCAGGATCTCCGCACATCCTTCAACTGAACAGCATTCACAACCGATTAAGCACAAATGCGGGAGGAGAATCCAGCTGTCTTCCGCTAAACCAGACACTCAAATGACTTGACAGAGTACACAACAGCACTGCTTTTCTCATTAGGCAGGATCTGAAAAATACAGTCATTTTGAGTAAAACTCCGTTATTCATATTTGTGTGTGATGGGGTTATTGTTCTCTTTAGTGAATTAAACATGGCTAAGGATTGTCAGCTTTCATCTCTAACACATTATCAATAAATATAACTCAGGCAGTCAGAGTCGCTAGGACTTGAACCCAAACCACAAGTGCCACTGTCAGTGGACCCAGATCCATCAGGTCACCGCCACGTGTGGCCACATAGAACACACAAGGGCTGTCTTAATGCAGGGTTATACGGAGACACGGTGGGCTTTGAGGGCTCATAGGAAATGAAGACACATTCTCCATGTGTTCATTTGTGGTCGCCTACCTTCACGGTGGTGTGTGATATCACTGGGTCATTTTGTTTATTTATTTATTTATTTATTTTAACCTGCCTCAGACTGTGTCAAGTTGGGAGCCTAGGCCCCAGACGCTCGCATCTATCCAGTACCCCCTCCTGCCCCCTCCCAGCCTGGTCTGGACTCCAAATCCCAGCAGGCCAGGTTCTGACTGCTCCCTGGGGGTGTGGTCAGGACCACTTTCTCTCCAGGGTATTTAAATGAGCCCCCAAAAGAGGAACTCGTGGTCTCCCTTTCTTCCTCCCTTTTGCGCAGCTTCCCGGTTTCCCCTCGGGGCCACCTGAGAACGCAGAACTCCTATTAAACCTGGATATTTCTTAATTTGGCTTGTTTTGATTAGGCTTGATTGGGAATTTTGTGTTGGCAGGGAGCTCACGTTAGGAAATATTCCTAAAAGACTGTATTTCTACTTCCATCTATTTACCCAAAGGAAAGGAGTTGTTGGTGCACCGCGTGTATATGTTCATGGTAGTGTATGTGAAGCACGGGCATCCTCCTGACTCTTGTTCCCTCACTCTGGGATGACAGGTACACACTGTGCAGAACTCAGGTATGCCGAGAGAGCATGTCCGTGAGAAGTGCCTCTAGCCCCAAAGAAGGAAATTTCCAGAGTCTTTGACTACACAAACCTTAAACCAGTATGTTCAGATACTGAGTGTTTCTTAATTAATACTGGGAGATTTAAATACACAGCCGAGGGGCTGGAGAGACGATGGTTCTGGTTCGGCAGTTATGAACACTGGCTGCTCTTATAGAGGAGGATCTGATTTCAATTCCCAGCACCCACTGGTGGCTCACAATCATTTGTAACTTCAGTTACTATAGTGATTTTTATGTTTTAATAAGTAAAGCTTGCCTAAAGATCAGAAGGGCAAAGCTAAGACACTAGAGATCAGGCAGTGGTGGCACACACCTTTAATCCCAGGATTTGGGAGACAGAGGCAGACGGAGCTCTGTGAGTTCAAAGCCACCCTGGGTTACAGATGATCAACACAGAAACAAATTCAGGTGGTGGTGCTTCACACCTTTAATCCCAGCACTAGAGGGAATGTAAAATGGGAGGAGAGTGAGGCTTAGTCTGCAGTTGCCCAGCCTTGGTAGAGGAAAGACTTCTCTAGTGGCTTGGTTGTTTTGCTTTTCTGGTTTTCAGGACTGAACCCCAATTTCTGACTCTGGGTTTTTATTATTCATGCTACAAGTTACAGGGGATCCAACATCTTCTCCTGACCTACATCAACACCAAGCACATATGGTACACAAACATCCCGGCAAACTACCCATACACATAAAATAAGGTAATTTTTTATTGCAATTCTTGCAAACGAACGTAGAAATTGATTTTGTTTCTGATCCAAGCTTCCGGTCATTGGGTTGGGCTGTGTGACATCCCCTGTCACTCTCAAGTCCCTCTGTCTAAGAAGGAGACTTCCAGCGCCTGCTCCACCCTCTAGCCCTGTAGAGTCTGTCCTAAGAGCACAGGTGGGCCCAACCAACTGGCAGGGAAAGCCGACAGGATCTTCACAGAGAGTTAAAGGTTTACACTTTGCTGGAGAGGAACCCGAAATCCCCACAGCAGCTCCAGGCGGCTTTCTCTTCTCTTTGTGTGGCCTCAGAACAGCTAATCTGCATGATGCAGAAGGACTCGCAATTGTTCCCTGAGGAGGAAATGGCTCTGTAAGAGCACCTATTACACCTCCATCCGGGACAATGGAAGCAATTCCTTCAAAATGGACACTGCTCACAGCAATTTGCATAATGCTCTCCACCCTGTTGGTAGGACCAACCATCCCTAAAACTGGCTTCCCCAGCTGTAGTCTACCCCAGGCTGCTTTAGCAGAGTGGTAGGCAGGCAAGCTCCGCCCCCTCCATCCTATAGGCCCTTTCACAGGTGGGACTGGACTTGGGTCAGGTCACCAGGGCCATTCAGGCTTACCTGGTCAAGGGTGCCATGATATCTTTGGAGAAAAACAAAAGCAAACCAAAAATTCATAGAATAAATTAGGGGGAAGAAAGAACTAAGACACTAAAAT